CAAAAAATAAAGTAGGAATATCTGAGAAAGTGGCTGTCCTACCTCTCTTCTTGCTGGTTTCTAGACATTTCTTTTGCCTTCCTACCAGGAAATGTAATGGCTTGTGGATCACACAAGCAGTTTATCAGGGTGCATTGAAGGAAATCAACAGAGGTGCTATGTTGTTTGGCTGGTTTCATCCTGACTATAGGCAAATGGGCTCAGGAAACCCAGACCCCCATCTTCTTAGAAGCCAGGTGTGGGAGCCCACCAAATGGGGCATACCTTCATCCCCACCCTCCCATTTTCGGAGAAGTGCCAACAACTGTGAGATTAAGTATATTGATATCCTGGGGGCTGCAGAGATGGCTCAGTCAGTTAAGAGCCTGCCTGGAATATGAGAGCCTGAGTTCAGATCCCTAGAACCTATGTGAAGAGCCAGTTGTGTACCAGCAAGACAGCACACTGGGTAAAGGTTCTTGTTGCATGAGCCTGGAGACGTGGTTTCAGTCCCTGCAACACTGGGCTTGTCATGGCCCAATGCTCCACCCACATCACACACACACACACACACACACACACACACACACACACACACACACACACACACACACAATAAAGCTGGGCATGGTGGTGTGGGACTGTAATCTGAGCACCAGGGAGGAAGAGGCAGGAGGAGGAGAAGCCCTGGTGTTCACTGCCCCGATGGTCAAGCCCCGTTAGTGAGCTCCAGGTTCACGGAGAGACCCTGCCTCCAAAAATAAGAGTGCAACAGAGGAAGGCACCATTGTCTACCCCGACCACCAGCTACACACATGTACATGCATACACACATATATACATACATACATACACCCCCACACACCGGAACCTAGACTTAGGCGGGGACCTGTTCAATCCATTCATTTATCAATCAGATGAGGAAACAAAGACCCAAGGAAGCTGGGAATGGAAGAGAGCTGGGCCTCCAGACTCTCGGGCCAGCGCTCAACATAATGACAGTAACTAAGGATCGCACAGACAATCCAACACCACCCTTGTGTTTTACCACCTTCCATCGCACAAGGAGCCTTCACCAATAGACCCACATTCCACTTTCTCAATGATCCCCAAAGCCAGATAAATAACTCTAGAAAATTCCCCCTCCCCACCCCCCAATTGTCCTGGATGACATATGTAGTCTAGGCTAGCTTTAAACTCCTAATCCTCCAGTTTCACCACTAGAATGTTCAGATTGGTTGCAGGTGTGCATGACCACCCTTGGCTCCTCAAGAGGATCCCTATATTATGTCCCTGAAAGACAAGAGCAATTTATTGGGAAGGCCATCTAGCCACTTCTTCTCCAGCTGGTCCATTCCTCCCAAGGCCAAGTTCTTCCAGGACATTTGGTCAAGTTCCTGGAATCACCTGGGAAGTTTCTTTTTAAATTACCCATGCTCTCCTCACCTCCAAAGACTCTGCTGACCCCTGGGAACAGTGTAAATTAGAAACTATTTCCCATATCTGGTCAATTCCCACCTCTATACTGACCGAAGAAAGCTGTCTCCAGGCTGAAGTTCAGCTTCTGGCCAGGGGCATTGCCTCACTGGGTTGAGTGACACATCAGATCTCTTTAAGACACACAGGAGGGCATGGAAGATGAATAGATGAGCTGGGCATAGTGGCACACTATAATCCTAGCACTCAGGTGTCTGGGTCAGGAGCCTAGCCTATGAGACTGTGTCCCAAAACAACAAAAATGGTCCGTGAGATGGCTCAATGGGTCCAGGTGTTTGCTGCCAAGACTGATGGCCTGAGTTTGATCCCTGGGACCCACGTGGTGGAAGGAGAGAGAGCTGGTGGCCTACAAGTTGTCCTCTGAGCCCACATGTTCAGACACCTGAAATAAATGTATTAGAATATTTTAAAATATAATTAGCTTGACCCTCGCCTAGATCTGCTCAGGACCCTCAACTGGTTTTTTGTTGTCCCATCCTGGCATCTGTGCCAGATCCTCCAGCATCACAGCTCCCTCAGGATTCACCAAGAAGGATCCCAATGAGGCCAAGAAGATTGTACTGGGGAGATGGTTAAGAGCCCTGGATGTTCTTGTAGAGGACTGAGGTTCAGTTCCCAGAATCTATATGGTGGCAAACAAGCATTTTGTTGTTGATTTCTCAAGACAAGGTCTCCTTACTGAGCTCTAGCCATCATGGCACTCACTCTGTGGACCAGGCTGACCTTGAAGAGACAGAGGTCCAACTTCCTCTGCCTCCCAAGTGCTGGGATCAAAGGCGTGAGCCGCTACACTCTACTAACAACAACAACAACAAAAAGCCGGGCGTTGGTGACGCTGGCCTTTAATTCCAGCACTCAAGAGGCAGAGGCAGGTGGATCACTGTGAGTTCAAGGCCAGCCTGGTCTCCAGAGCGAGTGCCAGGATAGGCTCCAAAGCTACACAGAAATCCTGTCTTGAAAAAAACAAAACAAAACAAAAAATTTTAGATGACACTTTTTGATGAAGGCTGACCCCCAACCTGGAATAACTCATCCAAAATTAACACAGCTTCCTGCTTTTGTGACTTTTCTCCCAGAAAGTGTGTTGTCAGCCACAGCCTTGGGCAGGATCATTCATTCCATTCATTTCCTCAATCTGTTGCAGCTTCCTTTTCTTACGCTCTGTAGTGAATCCAACTAGACCAGTCTTGTTATCCATCATCAGCCTCTGAGTGCTGGACTTCCAGGACCATCAGCAGTGCTGGGTTTCTTTCTTGGTTATCTACTTGTTTATTTAGGGGTATGCAAAGGTTTAATAACTTAGAAGCCTCAGGCTGTCACAGATTCCGGCAGAAAGAGATGCAGTGTTGACCTTAGAGGCAGTTAGGGAGGCCAACATAAGGACTCCACCAAAATTCACCAGCTTGGGAAGGCAGAAAATAGGCCTGCAGATGAATTCTTCCACCTCAAGGTCCCATTTATATCCTACAAAACCTAAAGCCCTTTGGGCCCTGGCACATAGTCTCCACCAGAGACTGCTTCCTTCAGTAGTCTGGTGAAAGCACAATTCTGCTCCTGTAAGAGGCCACAGTCAATGGGACCTGGTGGCACATGCCTTTCATCCCAGCACTCAGGAGACAGAGGCAGGCAGACCTCTGTGAGTTTGAGACCAGTCTGATCTACAGAGTGAGTTCCAGAACAGACTCTAAAGCTACACAGAGAAACCCTGCCTTGAAACAAAACAAAACAAAACAAAACAAAACACGGTCACAGTCAATTTTACATCACCTCTTTTGATCCTAACAGTGCATGCATGTATGTGTGTGTGTGTCTTTGTATATGTGTGTTTCTGTGTGTCTGTGTGTGTCTATTGGTGTCTGTATGTGTGTTGCTGTATGTTTGTCTCTCTCTGTGTTGTGTGTGTGTCTGTCTGTGTCTGTATGTGTGTGTGTCTGTGTGTATGGTTATGAGCTGCCATGTGGGTTCTGAGAATGGAACCAGGGTTCCCTGGAAGAGCAGCCAGAGCTCTTAAACATTGAGCCATCTCTCCAGCATTCTCTCTCTGAGATGGGTCTCACTATGGAGTCCTGGCTAGCCTAAAAGATACCATATAGACCGGGCTTGCCTCTATCACAAGGATCTACCAGTTTCGCCTCTTGAGTGCTGAGATTAAAGGCGTGAACCAGCACACACAGTGCTTTTTATTTTTATTTGTATGTATGTGTGTTCCCGAGCAAAATCTACGTACTGTCTGTACAATATCCACAATGCTCTTAGTGATGAGCTCTCTCTCCAGCCTCACAGTGTTGATTTTCTAAGGAACACTTTCTTCACCCTCTCATCGGTCTGTATCTGTATATTTACAGAAGCATATACATGATAAACATAGTCTTGCTGAATTATGAGAGTTTAAGGTTGCAACAGGCCCAGCTCCTGTGGTGATATTTTGCCTTGGGCATAAGTCAACACATATTGCAGAAAACACTAATAAGCCAGTTAGGAGAAGTGTGGGAATAGCTGGGCCCAGTGGCCTAGCCCTGTATCATGAGAAGGCCAATGTGGGGCACTTACCAGTTCAAATCCAGCCTTGGCCTCACAGTAAGATAACGACACCAACAAAGTGAAAAATCTAAACAAGAGATGAAGAGATGGAGGCAGGGGTTTGTGGGACATTGAAACGGTTTTGAATGACACCTTGGATGGTGGTTTCATGAGTGTGCATCTGGGACCTCCGCCACACAAAAGCTGAACGTCAACCTAGCCATGGCCAGACAGTTCACTGTAAAATCCCAATGCTGACCTGTCCAGTCCCCGCTTCCATCCCGTGAATTGTGCCTCATCTCCTGCCTTAAAACCCGGAGAGTTTCTGGGCATTGGTGGCCTTTAATCCCAGCACTTGAGAGGCAGAGGCAGTCGGATTTCTCTGAGTTCGAGGCCAGCCTGGTCTACAGAGCGAGTTCCAGGACAGCCTCCAAAACAATACAGAGAAACCTTGTCTCAAAAAACCAAAACCAAAACCAAAACCAAACAAAAAACCCCGGGGAGTTCAGTGGAACCAACAAAACAAAACCCCCCGGGGAGCTCAGTGGAACAGACTGTGCTTTATCCTAGGGTACCCTGGGTTGCCACTCCAGCACCACAGCGGAGAGAGGAGGGGATATGAGTAGGAGAGGGGCCTTTTGGGAACTCTGGGCTTTCTGTAAGAATTTTCTGTAACCCTAGAGTTGCAGGTCTAGAGTTAGAAGAAGATTAAAATCAGTTATGGTGGTTTTTAAAAAAAGAAAAACATGGAGCTCTTCCAATCGCCGCCTTCTGTTTTTCCAAACTTGGTTTCCCTTTTTTTCCAACATATACAGATTGCTCTTAAAACCTGCCGTGTAATGGCTTTTCGACAAAAAGAAACTCCCCAAAGCCAGATCTGTTTCATTAAGAGTTCTGAGATGCTAAGGAAACCCAGGCATGGACGGACCTTGTGAGAAGCCCCAAAGCCATTGGCTGCTCGGGCCTGGCTTATTTGCATAGCCCCGCCCTCCCGGGGAAATCGAAACCAAAAAGCAGAATTGCCCAGCTCAGTACTGGGGAGGTGAGACGCAGGAGATCCAGTGCAGGGGGAAAGCTTCAGGGCCCGAGGATGGGGCAGGGACTCAGCAGCACGCCGGCCTGGGAGCTGGACAAGTTCATAGAGGACCACCTCCTTCCTGACACCACCTTCCGTAAAGATGTCAAAGCCGTCATCGATATCATGTGCACTTTCCTGAAGGAGAGATGCTTCCGAGGCGCCGACCACCCTGTGAGGGTCTCCAAGGTGGTGAAGGTGAGCCCCCTCAGCCTGAACTGACCCCCATGGGGAGGGAGAGGACCCTCAGGAGCCAGGCTGCCGCCCTGATCCCTTCTCCTCACCTCTGATCACAGCTGTGGTGGGTTCTGCCCCCAGGTTTCCCATCTGTGTTAGAAAAAGAGCCTCAGCTACAGTTTATGTTCCACCCTCCCAGGCCACATCCATTTCAGAGTCAGGGAAACTGAGGCCAAGCTTGGGGAATCAGTTTTCTGGAGAGTGGTGGATCGGGGGACCCAACCTTTGCACTGCTGTGTGACCTTGGGTGAGTGAATTACCATCTCTGTGCCCAGTGTTCTCCGCACACCTCCTATAATGGCACAGGAATTGAAGACTAAGTCAAGTGTGACACAGAGGAAAGAGCAGGACCCCTCCTGCTGGGTGACTGGATTGATGGACCCTCAATGATCTCGGTTCTGGGTCTTAGACTTTATCAGGACCTAACTCACTGTGAAAAATTGAGATAAAATTGTGTGTGTGTTGTTGTTTATTTTTTGTAGCTGATTTTATGTTTATTGTTTCAATTTTGTGGATGGGGCCTGTGCAAGTGTTAATCCAGGTGTCCTCAGAGTTGATCAGTGGGTGTCATGTCCCTCAGAGCAGGAGTTACACAGGTGGTTGTGAGCTGGCCTCCGAGGGTGCTGGTCACTAAACTCAGGTCATCTGCAAGAATAGCAGCCGCTTTTAACTGCTGAGCCACCCCTCCGTCCCCAGACATGACATTTTTATCACCATCATCATCTTTATTAACATCCTGATCACAGTTTTCCCTTCCCCCACTTCCCCTCTGTCCCCCAATCCACTTCTCCTCAGTTTCTCTACAGAGAAGGACCGGCCTCCCATGGCTATCAGCCAACCATGGCATATCCTTCCCCTCATATCAAGTCTGGATGAGGCAATTCCAGTAGGGGGAGCAGGGTCCCAAAAGCTGGCAAAGGATTCAGAGACAGCCCCTGCTCCCACTGTTAGGAGTCCCATATGAAGACCAAGCTACACAACCATATTGTATAAGCAGAGGGCCTAGGTCAGTTCCAGACAGCCTCCCTGGTTGTCAGTTCAGTCTCTGTGAGGCCTTATGAGTCCAGGTTAGCTGGCTCTGTAGGTTTTTTTGTGATGCCCTTGACCCCTCTTGTGCAGAATTCTCCAAGTTCCACTAAATGTTTGACGATGGGTCCCCAGAAATGGCATTTGTAATGCCCACTCAGCAGTGGCTGGTGTTCACATGAGGGATTATTCTCAGCAAGAGTCCTTCTTTTTAAAATACTCTGTTTTATACATGTGGATCTCTTTTTACTCATTTTTTTCTGTTGCTCTATGATTTTTATATTATTTTGTGTTACATAAGGCGGCTTTCTTACAAGTATGTGATGTCATGTGAGTACATTTCCCCAGCTAACAATGGGATCATGAAAACAGTTTCTTATGTCTGTGTTAATTTACTCACACACACTGCCATCCCAACCTTTACCTACCACACTGAACCCCAAAGAGTCCCTCTCTGATTTCATGTCACGTGTGTGCAGCTAGACCTGGATTCCACATGACAGAACACGTGCTTTTTTGTCATCCCTCATGACCCAACTCTTGCTCCTTATTTTCTTTAGGCCCCTCCTCCACCTTTCCCACATAGTGCCCCTTGTATCCCCCATGCACGCACACCAACACACACACACCTTAAATCTAGAACCCACAGATAAACAGGTACGTTCGTCATTCTGAGACTGGCTTATCTTCCATACCATGAGAAGATCCAGAACCATCTATTTTCCTACATAGCTAATGATTTCATTATTCAGGGATGACTAGTGTTCCACTACACATGTGCTGGCTTTTTCTATCTATCCATCTCCCTGGGTGGTGGACCCCGAGGCTGTTCAGGGCCTGGACTGCTCTGCGTGACTCTGTCTGCTGCCTGTCATTCTCATTGTTCTTTTTCAGAGCGGCTCCTCGGGCAAAGGCACAGCCCTCAAGGGCAGGTCGGACGCTGACCTGGTGGTGTTCCTTAACAATCTCCACAGTTTTGAGGATCAGTTAAACCGACGGAGAGAGTTCATCCAGGAAATTAAGAAACAGCTCTACAAGTTTCAGAGAGAGAGACATATTTGGGTGAAGTTTGAGGTCCAGAGTTCATGGTGGTCCAACCCCCGGGCACTCAGCTTCAAGCTGAGTTCTCCACATCTTCAGCAGGAGGTGGAGTTTGATGTGCTGCCGGCCTATGATGTCCTGGGTAAGCAGGTTAGAACTTCAGCTTGCCTTTCCATGTGCCTTTATCCTCTTTTCTAACTCTCTCTCTCTCTCTCTCTCTCTCTCTCTCTCTCTGTGTGTGTGTGTGTATGAGGGGGCATGAGAATTCATTGTACATGAGTGTGACCATGAACTAACTGGCTAACACACTTAAGGAGCCATCCCTCTTTTTTTGAGGCCTGGTCTCTCCCTGGCCTGTATTTCCACATTAATCTTGACTGTCTGGGCAAAGCCCTGGGAACCCTCTTGTCTCCACCTCCCAAGCACTGTGATTACAATCCTATGTCACCATGCCCAGCTTTTCCCTGAGTCCCGGGGTTATAACATGGGTCCTCAGGCTTGTGTGACAAGCACGTTCCTCACTGACCACCTCCCCAGCCCACACCTTCTATTCCTGAACTGAAAACACATGTCTTTTGAGAATTTCACCCAAACAGACTACCTCTTTGAAGCTGAGCTGGGGGGAGGGATTTTAGAATTTTTGGAGTGAGAATCCATCAGAGAAGGACATAAAGTAGCAAACATGCTCAGTGAGGGGATGAGGGTCCCCTCAGCTTACCCTCACTAAAAATTAATAACTGATGCCTCTTCTCCCAAAGAATGGGAAACCTTAGACCTGTGCAGAGGCCTGGGTGTCTGTGGGAGGGTTAGTTCAGGAGGCAGAACTTCTCAAGGATCCATGTCTGCCTAAGGAAAAATGGAAATGCAGTCACAACCCCTACAGCCCCCCACATGCACACACTTGTTAAATTTTACTTTAAACGATCCTCTACGTAAAGATCGTACACCAGGCCTGACACACAGTGTCTCCAAATTTACAGATTGCCCAACTCTACCCAAAGACAACCAGGAACACGGCTGAAAGCACAGTGGGGGCTTGGGGAGCTGAGAGAATAGTTTTGGCTTTACATTTGAGGGGCACAGCACTCCCTGCTGGCCACAGTGAGAACTGCACTGTTAATTTAGAGACCAGGCTGTTTGCCCTGAGCTTAGGAGAGCCATGGAAACAGTACAGAGTCTCAGGCAGCAGGGAATGGGAAGCCAGCCTGGGAGTAGGATCAGGCAGCATGCTGTGGGAAGCTGCAAGAGGCTTAGATCCCTGCAGAGTGGAGGGAACCAGAGGGGGTGACCCAGAAATGAGCTGGGAGGGTGGCTCCCCAGAAGCCTGTGTTGTCATGGACTCCCCAGCCTCAGGCAGCTTTGCAGTGGGGAAGTGTGGCCACCACAGAAGCCCCTCCTTGGAAATGGCAGTGTAGGGGACAGCCCAAGAGAGGACCCCAGTCACATCCCTACCCAAAATGACTTAGCCAATGAGCTCTTCTGTGTGCTGGGCCCTGGAGTTAAAGGTAAACATATGAATGAGCAAGAGACCTTCCTGGGTCACTGAGTTCCCTGCGTCCCCAACTCATCCATCAGTAGGTGATTTTGCCCTATGTCAGAATCAAATCCCGATGGCATGGCCTGATCCAGCCACACCTAAGGCACAGCCTGCTGCCTGGCTAGTCTACTCAAATGTGTGCATTCACCCAGGTGCAGACACACATCCATATGCACTCTCTAGCCCGCTACCCATCCACTTTACAAGTAGACCACACACACACACACACACACACACACACTACTGCCATATCTTGTTGCTCTCAGGATCTTGTCAATCAAAACCACATGGTAATAAGTTAGGCCCTTAAAAACCCACAGTGCCTGTGGAGGCAGTTCAGTGGATAAGGGCAATTGCTGCAAAAGCATGAGTACCTGAGTTCAAATCCTGAACATTCACCTAACTTAGGAAGTGCCACACATTGACCTGTAACCCAAGCACTATGTGGGACAGAGACAGGAGAATCTCTGTGACCTGCTGGATGCCAGCCAAGCTCCTCATTCACAGAGAGAACCTGCCTCTAAGGAAGAAGGTGACAAATTATAAAGGAAGACACCCAGTGTCCTCTCCTCTCCAAACATATAACTTCTCATGGACACACATACACAATTCATATACAAAATAGGGCAGAGACTCTGTAAGCATGAGATACATGATGTACAAATGCAGCAGACTGCTCCACAGTAAATCTGACACAAGCAGCAGTGTACACACACGGCACACACCATGCAGAAGACACTGGACACCAGAGCATGGTTGGCCATTATTAGATGACCATGCACTCCTCTAGTGAGTGTGACCACAGTGAGCTGTTTCCTCCCAACACTGTCTCCAGGCCTTTGAGGAAGGCTCTGTACTACGACCAGTTGGTGGCAGGGACTTTCCAGGCCCACATGGTGTATGCTGTATTGAGGTGTGGTGGGGCACATGGATGTATGGGGAGTGATGTTTGCTGCGGTAAAACTCTACCCTGTTCACTGAACCCAACAGTCTGTGAGCTTGTCACCCTAGATAGATCCAAGAACCCCAGGGAAGGGCTGGGGTGTTAGCTGAATGAAGCCATCTTTACAGGTCATGTCAGCATCTTCAGCAAGCCTGACCCTGCAATCTACAGAAGGCTCATCAGTAAGTGCACCTCCTTGGGGAAAGAGGGCGAGTTCTCTACTTGCTTCACAGAGCTCCAGCGAAACTTCCTGAAGCGTCGTACAACCAAGCTGAAGGGTCTGATCCGCCTGGTCAAGCACTGGTACCAACTGGTATGGCATCTGATCCACCTAGCATGGGCCCCATCTTTACAGGGGATGGATACAGCCAGAGACCAGGAGTATTCTAGTTTGCTTTCTATTGACATGATACCTTTATCACATGGCCAAAAGCCACATGGGAAGGGAAGGTCTTATTAGGTCGCACATCCTAGTCACAGTCTGTCACTGAGGGAAGTCAGGGCAGTACCTGCAGCAGAGACCATGGAAGAATTCTGCTCACTGGTTTTCTCTCTATGGCCCACTCAGCTTGCATTTAATATACAGCCCAAGGTCACCTGACCAGGAATGGCACCAGCCACGTGGGATGGGCAGACCCACATCAATCATTAATTAGTAACATACCCCCACAAACTACCCTAACCCAGTCTGATGGAGGCATTTTCTTGATTAAGATTCCCTCCTACCAGATGTCTAGTTGATGAAAACTAACCAGCACAACTGGCTGCTTTTCAAGTTGATACACAAACATACCACTATTAAACCATAACCTTTCCTTTCTTGGTTATCCCTAAGCTCTTATGTCAGTATCACATTATAAAATACAATATAGCCTTAAAAGTCTCCAAGTTAAAAAAAAAAAACACTCCAACACTTATAAAGATTAGTCTCTCAACTGTGAGCTCCTATAAAATTAAGAACTCAAGTTAAATACTTTCTTACTACAAGAGGGAAGAACCAGGGCACAGTCATAATCAAATAAAAACAAACCAAGTCCATCAGTGCAAAAATCCCAGTGTCTGATATCTGGATCACCACTCTCTGAGCTTCAGAGGACCTGGACAGCTGTTCTTCCCGGGCTCTGCCATCCACAGCACACAGCTGGCCTCACAGGCTCAGGTCAGCACCGTTCACATGTTCTGCTGTCCTTGGCAGTGGTCTCATGTTCAGGGGACCTTCAGTATTTTAGGGTCCCCACTGCACTTGAGGCTGCACTTTCTCCTATGGTCTCTCCTGGCCTCTCTCAGTCCAGGCCTCAGCTGCTCTCCATGGCACCTTCAATCCTGCAGCCCTGATGGGATGTAAATGGTACCACCTGGGGGAGACCTTGCCACAGGAGCAGGTCTGGTTGCCACCTGGAGATTCAGACTTGGGCCCCTGGACCACAGCTTGTGTGTGTGACCATGAGGAAACTCTTTCCAGAAGACTTGGCCTCCATGGAGCCTGTCTCTTCTTACTCAGAGATGAGTTTCAGCCCCAGCTGATGAGAAACCACTGATTGTTAATTCTAAGATCTCACACAAACAGCCAAGACAGAGTCTTTTCTTCCCTCTGAAACTCACACACCAGCCTCTGTCATCTGCCTCTCTCCACTCGTATCCTCTGAGTTCCCACAAACAGCCCATTAGGCTCTAAGCACTCAATGGCTTTTCCAACCCAAATTTCCAAAATCCTTCCACTGTCCTCCCAAAGAGGTGGGTGTGTCACAGGAGCAGCAGTCCCCTGTCTAGGACCAACTTCTGTCCTATTGCTATGGTAAAGACGATGGCAAAAGCAGTTTGGAGAGGAAAGGGATTGTTTTGCTAATTAGTCCATATCACACTCCAGGTCTAAGGGAAGTCGATGCAGGAACTGAAGCAAATGCCACGGAGGAACACTGCTTACTGGCTTCATACTCTTTGATTGCTCAGCTTGCTGATTATCTATCTATCTATCTATCTATCTATCTATCTATCTATCTATCTATCTATTTTTAAAGCAACCCAGAACCACCTACCCAGGGGTGGCTCTGCCTGCAATGGGCTGGGTATTCCTACATCAATCACTGATCAAGAAAATGCTCCCCAGGCTTGCCCACAGCCGGTCTGATGGAGGCATTTTCTCCTTTGTTCAATCTTCCCAAGGTGACTCTTGCTTTTGCCATGTTGACAAAAAGAAAACAAATGACAGAAATGGTGAGGGGAAACCATGAGAAGGAAGTGTGGGTGGAAGGGAAACTGAGGGGGAGAGGATGAGAGAGAATCGAGGGGTGAGAGGGGGTGGCGAGGTGGGCGACACTGAGGGAGGGAGAAGGAAGGGGAGGGACGGGACCTGTCTATGCTGGTTCTCATTGATCTTTTTCTAGTTCACTTTGTGGTCAGCTAACTCTCTTTAGCCATGTCTACTTCACATTTCGCTGGATGCTGCATCGTTTGTGCCTTTGGATTTTCCTTCTTTGGCAAATCTTTCATGTTACTTTCAATCACTTTGATTTTTTCTGACCTATCAAGCAATTATCTCTTTAAACGTTTGATTTCTTGTTATATTCTGGGCTTTTTGGATCTGTGTGTCTTTATACCTGTTCATGGGAGCACGTGTGTGTGTGTGTGTGTGTGTGTGTGTGTGTGTGTGTGTGTGTGTGTGTGTGTTCATTAGCATTTGAGGCCAGAGACTAATGTCAGGCACTTTCCACCTTATATATCCAGGCATGGTCTGATGCTTGAATCCATAGCATGTTGAGTCATCAAGTCTAGACTCTCATGTATCTCTGGAGACCCCCATCTCCACCCCCTGAAGCTGGGATTATGAGTCAGCTTCTTCACGAGCCTGACACTCATGTTCATGTTGGGGACCTGAACTTCCTGGCTTGCCTGGGGACAGCTTAACCACTGTGCCATCTCGCTAGCCCCTCCCCAGTTATCTCAGAGCCTGTGATGAAACCTTCAATAGTGAGCATCATTGCTTTCCCACCCCACCCTCACTCCCTGGCTGTCACTCAAGTGTCATGATTCCTCCTATGACTGCTGGTAACTGCTCAATCTTTGTGGACCACACAATCTCTCTCTCAACCACTCAGTCCTTAGCTATAGCAAGGAGCATCCATAGTCTGACTACATGAATGGGTGTGGCTGTGTGCCAGTGAACTTGCAATGACATCAAGTGGCTGCTAAATTGATCCTGTGAGAAGTGGCCCCCCCCACAACTGCTGACAGCCCCATTTTTCTCATTGCCTTTCTCAGTGTAAGGAGAAGCTGGGGAAACCATTGCCTCCACAGTATGCCCTGGAACTGCTCACAGTCTATGCCTGGGAACGTGGGAGTAGATTCACTGAGTTCAACACAGCCGAGGGCTTCAGGACAGTCTTGGAACTGGTCACCAACTACAGGCAGCTTCGAATCTACTGGACAGAGTATTATGACTTTCAAGACCAGGAGGTCTCCAACTACCTGCACAGTCAGCTCAGCAGAGCCAGGTAGCCTGTCCCCTCATGGCTCAGCTCCCCACAGGGAGGACCAGACTGCAGCAGTGTGGAAATGGGGAGGTGGGAGCTCAGTGTCAATGGGACACCTCTTGTCCTGTCACTGTGCTGGGCACTGTCCTGCTGTCACCTGATTGACATGAGGACCTGCAGCCCTAGGAGGCAGGGGTGGGGTCTCCTGACTGCAGATGGGGAGACCAAGGCGCTGACTCTGTCCAGACTCAAACAGTAGATAGAGGGGAGTACATGGAGTAGTAACTGAAACATTCCAGCAGCAACAAAAGTCATAAGGGCTGCTAGGCAACAAAGACTAACTCATTGACCAATTAATTGTAAATATTACAGTAGATTTTTCACCAAAGGTAGGGACATGTCTTGATCCTGTGTTGGGTTGTGTTCATCCCTTACACCTTATCCTTTGACTTTGGCTGGTTGAACTCTACCCATCTTATGGATCAGAGAGGCTGAGGGACCTGCCCCAGGACACACAGATACTAAAGGTACAGGATTCAAGCCCGGGCCTTCCAGGTCATAAGCAAGCATCCCTCCAGGCTTGCTCTGTGCTGAGGAGCAGGGACTCAGGACACACTTGGGATAGGGGTGCTCTGCTGGGCTCCTCCACTGCCCTGTGCCGTGGCACCTGGGGCACTGGTCAGCTGGTCACTTCCCTCTCTGAATGTTGCTCTGCAGGCCTGTGATCCTGGACCCGGCTGACCCAACAGGGAATGTGGCTGGTGGGAACTCAGATGGCTGGGAGCGATTGGCAGGAGAGGCTGTGGCCTGGCTTCGGTACCCTTGCTTTAAGAAGAGGGATGGTTCACAAGTGTGCTCCTGGGATGTGCCGGTGAGACCTTGTCATCGTCCTGTCCCCTTGCACACAGCTTTGGTCACTCCATCTATTTGGGAAATATTCTCACAAAGATGTAGTCTTTTGCTAAAGATCTCCACACTCCTAGGAAAGCCAGCTGCTTCCCTGATATACAGTCATCTTAGCGGCGTTCAGAGATTTCAGAGTCTGGGAAGATGGCACGGTAGGCAAAGCACGTGCTGCCAACACTAGTGACCTGGGTTGATCCCTAGAACCCTATGGCAGAAGGAGAGAGCAACTCCTCCAAGTTATCCTCTGAGCTTCACCTCTGTGTTGTTACACAAGTGAACATGGACACACAGACACACACACACTCACAGACACAGGTACACCCACACACCAACACACACATAGAGAGTTTTAAAAGGGGACTCAGAGCCGAAACCACTGTCTCAGGGATGCCCAGCTAAGGAGAGCTGGCGCTGGGAGTCCCATGGGCTCTGAAGCCAGTGCTCACGTCCAGGAAGCAGCCCATCTTTCCTGTCTCATCATTATTTGGCCAACGGGTCTAAGGGGGGCTTGCTATACCTCCAAAAAGACACAGAGGGACCTGCACTGAACTTTTCACCTCCTGGTGCAGGGGACTTTCTAACGCTAGGGAACTGATGGTGCCATGGGTGCCCGAGCTTAGCATGGGTGCAGGGATGTTGGAACCAAACGCCAGTCCAAGAAGGAAGTGAGAGGGGACAATAGGGATGTAGAAGGGAGGCTAGTGAAGCTGCATGGGCCTCTGGGCCTGTCCTACAGCAGACGGTTGCCCATTCTCTCATGTGAGAGATCTGTGAATGAATGAGGGGCCCTCAGGTGGGAGGCGTGGCTTCCAGAGAAGTACTCTACATACACACAAGGGCCTGAGTCCTGACCTTGGCTTACTGGCCACCTCCCAGCCTACTGTCCAAGGAGCCCCTGTGGCCTGTCACAACACCCACACCCAGGGATCAATAAGAATGCAGGGTCCTGACATGATCGTGTTTTTCTGTTGCAGACGGAGGTTGACGTGCCATATCAGGAGAGTCATTTTTTTCGAAATCTCTGTTTATTTTTGTTATTTTTGTTTTTTTTTCATTGTTTCAAGGGCTTCTTCTGCATAACTAAGGCTAGCCTGGGCTCACCATCCTCCTGCCTCAGTGCTGGGATGACTGCAGCGTAGGCATGATGTGCCCTGCCTTCCCTCCATCCTCAAATGGAGGAAAACTGGACTTGCATCCTCCTGTGAGCACAGCAGCACCTGCCCAGAAGGCTCCGGAGTCAAGGGATGTGCTCCTCTGTGCAGGCCTTGACCAGAGAGGGCCGGATGCTGCCCAAGGCCCCAGTGAGAGAGTGTCCAACCTGGGGTCAGACTCCAGGCTCCCGACACCTGCCTGCCCACCCTTCCATCCTGCTCCATCACAGACAGCCTTCCTCACAGCCTGCTTCATCCGCCTTATCCTCTGATGGTGTTCTCTGGGGGAAAAGAGATTCAGAAGGGAGGGGAGAACTCAAGCTTGACTTCCCTCAGCAATGGACAGAGAAGAACCAAATCATTACAGCTTGTTTTTTTTCCAGGTAGCTTGGGAATCCCTCCAGGTTGCTTATACATAAACCAGAGACAGGAATCCTTGGTTCCTTCTTGCCAAGAGCTGTTGGTTGCAAGAGGCCGTGGGCATGTGCAGCAGTGAAAGCTAATGTTTAACAAGTCGACCCACTTGGGGAGCCCCCCTTGGCAAAGCTGTGGGGCTATTGACTGTAAATGACTGGTTGTTTTCTGTCTGTAACTTTCTTAGTTGCCACTACTATACCTCCCTTATAAGAACAGCTGTGGGGTTCTTTCCATAGCCCTTTGGTGGTGTGTTTTACTCTTACTGAGCTCACATATAGCTGGCCAGGAAGATGATGCTTAATCTGTATAACTCTGATGAATAGAAATAATAGTAGGATTTTTTTTTTTTTACATTACTCAGACTGGCATAGGATTCTCAGTCACAAAAACAGCCTTTTACACAGACAGCTAACTTTAGACTTCACAGCAGTTTCAAAGCAGGCTGGTTGCCCCTAGAGACAAATACAGGAGGTCATTTTCCCAGGTGTTGTTTTGCTGATTCAAGGTCAGTATAAAAGCAACTTTAGACAAAACTCCCTGCAGCAATGGACTTTCCGGCACGCTGTCTCCAACTTAAAGGTTCAGCCAATTGTTTACTGTCTGGGAACCCTCACCCACTCAGAACTACTTGCAAGGCCATGGTTTCTCACTGGCCACTCAATATGACATTCCTAGCCTAAGAGAAACTTGTGATTTAACTCAGTGTATCAGAAGTTCATAATGGTCATAGACAACCATGTTTGATAGCCACCAGAGTCACAAATTCACTGCACTTTTTATTTTTCCTTGAACCCCAGCCTGCATGCTGCAGCCACAATACATCTTCCTGTGCACTTCTTGAAGGACCAAAAATGAAAATTAATAAAAGTTTAAAAACTTGGGCCCTGAAAAGGGAACTTCTTATGACTGGGAATGCGATGGCTGGCTCCTGAGACCGGCTCTCAGAGAAGTGGAGGTGACTGTCCACCACTTGTGTCAACATTCCTATGTCTGCTAATTGCTAAGGTTGTAAAGATCCTTCAGCCCAGGGGATAACTGACAGACCCTGTGACTCTGTAACCCTGCAACCTGGTGCCTTGTCTTACCTTACTCAGATGTATCTTGCTTAAAATATATAGTTACTGTTTTACTTTGTACTTTGTATGTCTTTAAGTAACCATGGAAACGCTGAAATTTGTGGCCTTCAACCTTATGGTCTTCCCCTTTAAAAGTTTCTCTTTATGGCTCGTTGGCATCCCATTTCCCTGCCATGGAGTGAGATCCAAGCTGGCCAGCTTGAACAATAAAAAGAAACCTTTGCTTTTGCGTTGCAGGTGTCGGCTCCTTGGGTTGGTCTGGGGCTCCTCAAACCTGGCACAACATCCTCACATTCCTGGGTCACTTTGGCCACTTACAGCTGCAGAGCAGCTTCTGAGTCAATGGGGCAGGTCTTGAATCTTGTCTTGGGGACATGGACAAAAGGAAGCAAGGATTTCTGTCTAGGGTTTATATATAAGTGGCCTGGAGGGATCCCAAAGCACCCAGAATAAAAAGTTGCAATAATTTGTGTAGCACAGAAAATAAAAGACCCAGATCAGATATTGGGCTTCAAGCTTCAAGCTGAAGATCAGAGCAGCAAAGCAGCCAAACCAGTAGATCTTACCTCTACCCAGCTAAAATGGCAATTTTGTCTCCAGGAATCCTCAGAGGCACAAGGCTCCAAATTCCTGTCTCCTCCTCCTTGTATTCCTTTCTCTACCCAGCCATATCCTCTTGTCTCCACCTCCCTAGTGCTGGGATTAAAGGTGTGTGCTCTCAGGTAATGAGATCACCTTTGTGGGAGCTGTTTCTTTTAGGACTGGATCAATTTCGTGTAGTCATTGTGGCCTTGAACTAACAGAGATCCGGCTACCTCTTAATTCTGAGACCTGGGGTTAAAGGTGTGTGCCTGGCTTCTATGGCTAACTAGTATGGCTGCTTTGCTATTTTGAACTCCAGTGGCCTTAATAAATCATAAACAATTTATCACCACAAATTTGGTTCTGCTCTGTTCATTGCTGAGTGCTTGGTGTCTGGATCCATGTGGAGCATGTAGTAAGTGCTCAATAAATGCATCCAGTTGAACAATGAACACACACACACACACACACACACACACACACACACACACACACCTGCACTTCTATGGCCCTGTCCCTCAGAATTCACACACACCTCATGGCATCTTCTATGGTTTATTGATGTTGGTCAGACATTGGACAGAACCCTCCAACAGATACACAGATGGAAGTCAAGCTTGAGTTCTTCCTTCCCTTTGTATCTCTTCTCTCCCAGAGAACACTGACAAGGATAAGGTGGGTGAAGCAGGCTGTGAGGAAGGCTGTCTGTGATGGGACAGGATTAGGGTGGGCAGGCAGGGGTCAGGAGCCTAGAGTCTGACCCCAGGTTGGACACTCTCTCACTGGGGCCTTGGGCAGCACCCGGCACTCTCTGGTCAAGGCCTGCACAGAGGAGAACATCCCCTGGGCAGGTGCTGCTGTGTTCACAGGAGGACACATGCTCCATTCTCATCCACCTGGGAGTGGAGGGAAGGCAGGACACATCAGACCTACATGCAGTCATCCCAGCACTAAGGCTGGCCTGGGCTATGCAGATGAAGCCCACATCAAAACAATAAGAACAACAAATAAAAAAAAAACTAACCTCTTGGTTTGGCACAGGATCTTCAAACTGTAACAGAAAACACACAATCATGTCAGGAGCCCACATTCCTACTTGGAAGAGGATGCAAATGAGCTCTGAGGGTGGGCACCATGATGACACCAGAGACCCCCAGAAGAAGGACAGCACATCTCCATGTTGGGAAGATGACCATCAGGACATCTTTCTGATTTAGTTCATTGAGGGTACATATAGCCCCACCTGAGGTCCCCTCATTTGGAAACAGATCTGTCAAATGATAGGGCCTAGCCACCTCTCTGCTGCAGGGCAGCACTGAAGGCCCCTGCAGCCCCAGATGCCTCTCTCTTCTGTCTATTCTCAACCCTCCCTCTTCCCTTCTCACCTCCTGACCTTAGTAGTTTGGTTCAAAGTCACTGCACCCATGCTAAGCTCCATCATGGGGACACACGCAACTTCATCGGCTCCCTAGCATTAGAAGTCCCCTGCCCCAGCAGAGGAAAGGTCCAAGTGCAGGTCCCTCTGGGCCTCTATGGCTGTGACACAGCACCCTCCCCCCAGTCCCATTGACCACATGATGATGAGACAGGAAAGATGGGCTGCTGCCTGGACCTGAGCACTGGCTTCAGAGCCCACAGGAATCCCAGCCCTACCTCTCCTCAGCTGAGTGTCCCTGAGCCAGTGGCTTCAGCTTTCTTACCCTCTGTGTTTGTGTGTGTGTGTGTGTGTGTGTGTGTGTGTGAGAGAGAGAGAGAGAGAGAGAGAGAGAGAGAGAGAGAGAGAGAGAGAGACAGACCGACAGACAGACAGACAGACACACAGAGAGAGACAGATGGGGGGGAAGAATGAGTTTATGTAAGTGAGTATATGTACGGGTGAGTGAGAACATGTGTGAACATAAGAGTGTGTTAGTGTTAAGCTGGGCAGTAGTGGCACACACCTTTGATCCCAGCACTCTGGAGGTAGAGGCAGGTAGACCTCTGTGAGTTCAAGGCCAGCCTGGTCTACAAAGCTACACAGAAAAACCCTGAGGAGTTGCTCTCTCCTTCCGCCATAGGGTTCTAGGGATCAACCCAGGCCACTAGTGTTGGCAGCACTTGATTTACCCACTGTGCCATCTCCCCAGCCTCTGAAATCTCTGAACGCCGCTAAGATGGCTGTAAATCAGGGAAGAAGCTGGCCTCCCTAGGAGTATGGAGATCTTTAGCAAAAGACCACATCTTTGTGAGAATATTTCCCAACATTCTACAGACAGATAGAGTGACCAAAGCTGTGTGCAAGGGGACAGGATGATGACAAGGTCTCACCGGCACATCCCAGGAGCGCACTAGAGATGTATCACAATTCCTAACACATGGATATCCAAGCCAGGCCACAGCTTCTTCTGCCAGCAGCCACCAGCCCAATGGGTTCCCACCAGCCACATTCCTTGTTGGGTCAGCTGGGTCCAGGATCACAGGCCTGCAGAGTAACATTCAGAGAGGGAAGTGACCAGCTGACCAGAGCTCCAGGTACCACTGCACAGAGACAGTGGAAGAGCCCAGCAGAGCACCCCTATCCCAAGTGTGTCCTGAGTCCCTGCTCCTCAGCACAGAGCAAGCCTGGAGGGATGCTTGCTTATGACCTGGAAGGCCCGGGCTTGAATCCTGTAGCCTTCAGTATCTGTGTGTCCTTAGGCAGGTCCCTCAGCCTCTCTGATCTGTGAGATGGGTAGAGTTCAACCAGCCAGAGTCAAAGGATAAGGTGTGAGGGCTGATCACACACAGCATTAAGACTTGTGTGAAGTCTACTGTGTTGTTTACAGTTTATTAGTTCAACACTGATCTTCCAAGCCCACAGCCCTTATGACTTCTGTTACTGCTGGAAAATCTCAGCTCCCACTCCTCTTCTACTGTTTGGGTCTGGACAAGGTCAGAGCCTTGGTCTCCCCATCTGCAGTCAGGAGACCCCACCCCTGCCTCCTAGGGCTGCAGGTCCTCATGTCAATCAGGTGACTGCAGGACAGTGCCCAGCACAGTGACAGGACAAGAGGTGTCCCATTGACACTGAGCTCCCACCTCCCCATTTCCACTCTGCTGCAGCCTGGTCCTCCCTGTGGGGAGCTGAGCCATGAGGGGACAGGCTACCTGGCTCTGCTGAGCTGTTTGTGCAGGCAGTTGGAGACATATTCATATTGAAAGTCATAATACACTGTCCAGTAGATTCGAAGCTGCCTGTAGTTGGTGACCAGTTCCAAGACTGTCCGGAATCCCTCGGCTGTGTTGAACTCAGGGAATCCACTCCCACGTTCCCAGGCATAGACTGTGAGCAGCTCCAGGGCATACTGTGGGGGCAGCGGCTCCCTCAGTTTCTCCTTACACTGAGAAGAGAAAGGCAATGAGAAAAACGGGGCTGTCAGCAGTTGTGTGGGGGCCACTTCTCATGGGGTCAATACAGCTGCCACCTGATGTTGTCATTGCAAGTTCACTGGCACATGGCCACACCTGCTCATGTAGTCAGTCTATGGGTTCTCCTGTGCTATAGCCAAGGACTGAGTGGTTGAGATGGAGACTGTGTGGTCAACAGTCTCTTATCAGCTCAACTGCACTTATCAGCAGTCACAGGAGGAATCATGACACTTGAGTGACAGCCAGGGAGTGAGTGTGGGGTGGGAGAGCAATGATGCTCACTATTGAAGGTTTTATCACAGGCACTGAGATAACTGGGGAGGGGCTAGGGAGATGGCCCAGTGAGTAAAGTGCCTGCCATGAATGTCAGGCAAGTGAGAAAACCCACTCATAATACCAGCTTCAAGGTGTGGAGTTGGGGGTTTCCAGGGCTATATGACTGTCCAGAACTGCTGATTTAGCATTCTGTGGGTTCAAACATGAGGCCCTGCCTGGATATTTAGGGTATAGTTACCGAGGCCCTGACAATGTTCTCTGGACTCAACATGTTTATATGCACACATGTGCACATGTACTCCCATGAATAGGCACGGGCATAGGTACATACACACACACACACACACACACACACACACACACACACACACACACACGCACGCACACACACGAATGCTTACAGCCTAATGTGATATTTGTGGGAACTTGGAAGATACAAATGTTGACAGACAGGCAGAAGATGGAGGCTGGTGTGTGAGTTTAAGAGACAAAAAAGACTCTCTGGGCTGCTTGTGTCAGATCTTAGAATTAAGAATCAGCGGTTTTGCCAGGCATTGGTGGCACACGCCTCTAATCCCAGCACTAGGGAGGCAGAGGCAGGCGAATCTCTGTGAGTTCAAGGCCACCCTTGTCTACAGAGCGAGTGCCAGGATAGGCTCCAAAACTACACAGAGAACCCCTGTCTCAACCCCCTCCCCGCCTGCCCCAAAATCAGTGGTTTCTCATCAGCTGGGGCTGAAACTCATCTCTGAGTAAGAAGAGACAGGCACCATGGAGTCCAAGTCTTCTGGAAAGTTTCCTCATGGTCACACATACAAGCTGTGATCCAGGGGCCCAGGTCTGAATCTCCAGGTGGCAGCCAGACCTGGTCCTGTGGTGAGGTCTCCCAGGTGGTATCATTTATATCCCAGCAGGACTGCAGGATTGAAGGGGTCATGGAGAGCAGCTGAGGCCTGGACTGAGAAGGCCAGGAGAGACCATAGGAGAAAGTGCAGCCTCAAGTGCAGCGGAGACCCTAAAATACTGAAGGTCCCCTGAACATGAGACCACTGCCAAGGACGGCAGAACATGTAAACAGAGCGGACCTGAGCCTGTGAGGCCAGCTGTGTGCTGTGGATGGCAGAGCCCAGGAAGAACAGCTGTCCAGGTCCTCTGAAGCTCAGAGAGTGGTGATCCAGATATCAGACACTGGGATTTTTGCACTGATGGACTTGGTTTGTTTTTATTTGATTATGACTGTGCCCTGGTTCTTCCCTCTTGTAGTAAGAAAGTATTTAACTTGAGTTCTTAATTTTATAGGAGCTCACAGTTGAGAGACTAATCTTTATATTTGTTATTTAAAAAATATTAAGGACCTTAAAGTTATATTGTGTTTTGTGTTGTGAGATTGACAGGAGAACTTAAGGATCAGTAAGAAAGGAAAGGTTATGATTTAGTAGTGGTGTGTTTGAGTATCAACTTGACAAGGGTTCAATTGTGCTAATTAGTATTTGTCAACTTGACACAAGCAAGGGTCGTCGTAGTAGGAGGGAACCTTATTTGAGAAAATTCCTCCATGAAGCTGCCTCAGGGTAGTCTGAGGGTTCATGTTCCTAATTAATGATTGATGTGGGTCTGCCCATCCCAGGTGGTTGGTGCCATTCCTGGTCAGGTGACCCTGGGTTGTATATAAATGCAAGCTGAGCAGGCCATGGAGAGCAAACCAGTGAGCAGAATTCCTGCATGGCCTCCGCTTCAGGTACTTCCCTGACTTCCCTCAGTGACGGACTGTGACTGGGATATGCAACCAAATAAGACCTTTCCTTCCCACGAGGTTTTTGGTCATGTGATAAAGATATCGTGTCAATAGGAAGCAAACTAGAATAGTCTGGCTTTCCTCTGGCCCTGTATCCACCCCGTGTATAAACAGGAAGCACAGTGGCTGGGCCAGACGCCATACCAGTTGGTACCAGTGTTTGACCAGACGGATGAGATTCTTCAGCTGGGGTGGTCGATCCTTCAGGAAGTTTCCCTGGAGCTCCGTGAAACAGGTGTTGAACTCACCCTCCAGCCCCAGGGAGGTGCACTTAATGATGAGCCTTCCATAGATGTAGGGTTCAGGTTTCTGGTTGATGCTGACATCACCTGTAAAGGAGATTTTATTCATTTTAACACCCAGCTCTTCTCTGAGGTTCTTGGGTCTATCTGGGGTGACAAGCTCACAGACTGTGGGGTTCAGTGAACAGAACAGAGTTTTACCACAGCAAGCCTCACTCCCCATACATTCATGTTCCCCACCACACCTCCGGACTGCATACACCATGTGGGCCTGGAAAGTCCCTGCCACCAACTGGTCCTAATACAGTGCTTTCCTCACAGGCCTGGAGACAGTGGTGAGAGGAAACAGCTCACTGTGGCCACACACACTAGAGGGATGCATAGTCATCTAATAATGACCAACCATGCACAGGTGTCCGGTGTCTTCTGCACGGAACTTGTCATGTGTGTACACGGCTGCATGTGTCAGATTTACTGTGGAGTAGTCTGCTGCATTTGTACATCATGTATCTCAGGCTTACAGAGTCTGCCCTATTTTGTATATGTATTGTGTGTTTGCCATTACAAGGAGGTATACAGGTATGTCTGGAGGCCATAGGAGGACAGTGGTGTCTGCCTTTATTATTTGCCAACTTCTCCCTAAGAGGCAGAGTCTCTCTGTGAATGAGGGCGTGGCTGGCATCCAGCAGGTCATTGTCTCTGTCCCCATAGTTCTTGGGTTACAGGTCCATGTGTAGCACTTCCTAAGTTTAGGTGGGTGTTGGGGATTTGAACTCAGGCTCTTATGCTTGTGCAGCAATTGCCCTTATCCCTAATCTGTCTACCCAGCCACTGTGTTTTCACTGCATGATTTTCTGCAGGGCCTAACTTAATACCATGTGGTTTTGTTTGTCCAGGTCTTGAGAGCAACAGCAGGGTGTGTGTGTGTGTGTGTGTGTGTGTGTGTGTGTGTGTGTGTGTGTGTATGTATGTGTGTGTAGAGTGAATTGCAGCAGGCTATGTGGGTGTGTGGCTGTGTGTGGGTTCATGTGCACATTTGAGTGAACTAGACAGGCAGCAGGCTGTGTCTTTGGCGTGTAGCTGTAGTTGCAGCAGGCTATACCATCAGGATTTGATGTTGGCACAAGACAAAATCACCTACTGATGAAGTTGGGGACACATCCAGCCATGTCATGCAGTGACCCAGGGAATTCTTTCTCTCCTGTGCTTATTTTCAATTTCAGGGCCCAGCACACAGTAGAGCTCATTGGTTAAATAATCTTGGGTAGGGGTGTGACTGGGGTCCTCTCTTGGGCTGTCCCCCACACTGCTGTTTCCAAGGTGTTCCTTTTGTGGTGGCCCCACTTCCCCACTGCAAAGCCGCCTGAGGTTGAGGAGTCCATGACAACACAGGCTTCTGGGGAGCCACCCTCCCAGCTCATTCCTGGGTCACCCGCCTCTGGGTCCCCTTCACTCTGCAGGGGTCCAAGACTCTTGCAGCTTCCCACAGCATGCTGCCTGCTCCTGCTCCCAGGCTGGCCTCCCATTCCCTGCTGCCTGAGACTCTGTACTGTTTCCATGGCTCTCCTAAGCCCAGGGCAAACAGCCTGGTCTCTAAGTTAGTAGTGCAGTTCTCACTGTGGCCAGCAGGGAGTGCTGTGTCCCCCAAATGTAAAGCCAAAACTATTCTCTCAGCTCCCCAACCCTGAACTGTGCTCTTAAGGGTGTTCCTGGTTATCTTTGAATAGAGTTGGGCAATTTGTAATTTTGGAGACACACTGTGTGTCAGGCCTGGTGTAAGATCTTAATGTGGAGGATCATCAATGGTTAATGGCACATGTGTGCGCGTGGCAGGCTGGGGTGGTGGTATCTCCCTTTCCAGTTTTCCTGAGGCAGTGATCCTGGAGAAGTTCTGCCTCCTGCACTAACTCTCCCACAGACACCCGGGCCTCTGCTCAGGTCTCAGGTCTCCTATTCTTTGGGAGAAGATGCATCAGTTATTAATTTTCAGGGAGTTCTCTACTGCCTGGTGTTTAGGAAGACAAAGTCCACAGCTGGCTATGAAAATCACTGGTAAGCAGAGGGGCCATCTAAGGTGCCTTCATCCCCTCACTGAGCATGTTTGCTACTTTATGTCCTTCTCTGATGGATTCTCACTCCCCACTCCCAAAATTCTAAAATCTCCCCACCCCCAGCTCAGCTCTAAAGAGATAGCCAGTCTGTTTGGGTGAAATTCTCAAAAGACATGTGTTTTCAGTTCAGGGATAGAGGGTGTGAGCTGGGGATGTGGTCAGTGAGGAGCGTGCTTGGCACACAAGCTTGAGGATCCATGTCAGAACCCCAGGACTCAGGGAAAAGCTGGGCATGGTGACATAGGATTGTAATCACAGTGCTGGGGAGGTGGCGACAAGAGAGTACCCAGGGCTCTGCCCAGACAGTCAAGATTAATGTGGAAGTCCAGGCCAGAGAGAACAGGCTTCAGAAACAAATGGATAAGGCACAGTACATGATCACACACAATGAATCCACCTCTGTCTCTCTGTCTCTCTCTGTCTGTCTCTTTTTTTCTCATGTGCACTCGAGAGCGTGTGCGTGTGCGTGTGCTTGTGCGTGTGTGCGTGTGCTTGTGCGTGTGTGTGTGCGTGCGTGTGTGCGTGAGAGAGAGAGAGAGAGAGAGAGAGAGAGAGAGAGAGAGAGAGAGAGAGAAACACAAGTGAGGATGAAGGTACATGGAAGCGTGAGCTGAGGCTCTGATTGGCTTACCCAGGACATCATAGGCCAGCAGCACGTCAAACTCCACCTCCTGCTGGAGGAGCTGAGGAGACCTCAGTTTGAAGCTGAGCCCCTGGGAGTTGGGTTGATTTGAATCCTGAACCTCAAGCTTCAGATGAAATGTTTTTTCTTGCTGCAGTGCACACAGCTGTTTCTTGATTTCCTGGATGAACTTTCCCCGTTGCCTTAACTGATCTTCAAAGCAGGTGAGATTGTTAAGGAACACCACCAGGTCAGCTTCCCACTTGCCTAGGAGCATTTTGCCTTTGCCAGAGGAGCCTCCCTGAAAGATAATGATGAGAATGACAGGCAACAGACAGAGACCCATGCCCAACAGACCCTCAAAACAGCCTAGGCATCCACCATCCAGGGAGACGGATGGGTAGAGAAAGAAATCTGGCACATGGGCAGTGGAATACTAGTCAGCCCTGAAGAGTGCAATCAGGATCTATGCAGGAAAATAGATGCTTCTGGATCTCCTCGTGGTACTGGAGATAAGCCAGATTCAGAATGATGAAGTACCTGTTTAGCTGTGGAGCCTAGATTTAAGTGTGTGCGTGGGTGCATGTGTGTGTGTGTGTGTGTCTATGTGCCTATGTAGGAGAGCTTGGGGAGGGGCCTTGAAGAAATGAGGAGCAAGGGGGCAGAGGGAGAGATACAATAGCACATTTTCTCTCATGTGGGATCTAGATCTAGTAGCACACATACGACATCAAATCAGAGAGGAGCTCTCTGGGGAGGTCACTGTGCAGAGTAAAGGATGGGATGGCAGCGGATGGGAGGAGGCTGAGTGAATTAACACAGACATATGAAACTATTGCCATGGTCCCATTGCTAACATTGTCAGTTGGGGAAAATGTACTCACATGACATACTTGTAAGAAAACTGCCTTATTTGTAGTATTAAAATAACAGAAAAAGTCATAGACTTTTAGCAAAAGGTTAGCAAAAAGAAAGCCACATCTGTAAAAAAAAATATTTTTACAGAAGAATGAAGACTCATACAGAGAAGGGCCACCCTAAGTAAAATGCGGAGACAATCACTAACATACCTGAACACCGTCCACTGACGAGTGGTCATCACAAAATGCCACATCTGGGGGTGAGCAGTGATTCAGCACTTAAAAGCACCTGCTCTTCCTGCAGATGACCTGAGTTTAGTGACCAGCCCCTGTGTAGGCCAGCTCACAACCACCTATGGAACTCCTGCTCTGAGGGACATGACACCCACTCATCACCTCTGAGGGCACCTGCACTAACACATGCACAGCCCCCATCCACAGATTAAAACAATAAACAGCAAGTCAGCTACAAAAAAAGACGACGACAATTTTATCTCTGCAGCTTTCACAGTGAATTAGGCACTGATGAAGTCCAAGACCCAGAATCGAGCTCACTGAGGGTCCATCAATCCAGTCACCCAGCATGTGGGGGGTCCAGTTCTGTCCTCTGTGTCACATTTAACTTAGTTTGAGTGTTTGTGCCATAGTGGGAAATGTGCAGAGTACACTGTGCACAGAGAATGTCAGTAACTGACCAAAGGTCACACAGCAGTGCAAAGGTTGGGTCCCCCATCCACCACTCTCCAGAAAACTGATTCCCCAAGCTTGGCCTCAGTTTCCCTGACTCTGAAATGGATGTGGCCTGGGAGGGTGGAACATAAACTGTAGCTGAGGCTCTTTTTCTAACACAGATGGGAAACCTGGGGGCAGAACCCACCACAGCTGTGATCAGAGGTGAGGAGAAGGGATCAGGGCGGCAGCCTGGCTCCTGAGGGTCCTCTCCCTCCCCCCTGGAGTCAGGTGAGGGGGCTCACCTTCACCACCTTGGAGACCCTCACAGGGTGGTCGGCGCCTCGGAAGCATCTCTCCTTCAGGAAAGTGCACACGATGTCAATGATGGCTCGGACCTCATTATGGAAGCTGCTGTTGGAAAGAAGGTAGTCCTCTATGAACTTGTCCAGCTCTGCAGCCGGGGTACAGTTGAGTTCCAGCTCCATCCTTGGGCCAAGAGGCTTCTCCTCTGTAGCCCGAGGCTCCTGTGTGTCCCAGTTTGGCTGAGCTCAGGCAAAGGGCTTTTCAGTTTCAATTTCCTGGAAAAGGCGGGACTGTCAGTTGCTTCCAGTTTTTGACAAGGTCTTTCCAAGCTGGGCTTCCTTAGCATCCTACCCGGAAGTCTTGTCTTCTAGTCCCCAAGCAAAAAACTCATAACAAAGCAGATATCTTCTTTTCAGGGTTCCTTCCTGTTGAAAAATCTGTTTTTAAGAGCAATCTGTACATGTTAGAGAATAGGGGAGATCAAATCAGGACACTTCTGGTAGCTGGTGGGTCCCAAACCCAGCTTCCAGCTCCTGCAAATATTTTGGAGGGAGCTATACATTCTTTTCATTAAAAGCAAACAAATGAAAAGCTTGGCACATGCCTTTACATAGAGGGCAAAAGGCCGTGTGCACAAAGATAGGCACTGGAGAAGCCAGGGAAGTCAAACACACAGCTCACCTCTTCAGAGGAAGGAGCTGTGCAGCTGCTCGCCCTGGGATGCCAGGAATGATGTCCTTTTACAACCTGGTGATCCCTTGCTGTCTGATGAGACAGACTGATGCTCTTCTTAGGAGTGATGACAATTGTGCTTCAGGACAGCATAAGTGACTTCTGTATTATTCTAGGGCCAGGCCAATCCTGACTCCTACAGGCCTTATGTTTACCTCGGCCATTCTCCCTAGAGCCTTGAGTTTCTAAGTCAACAAGAAACTATCTTAGGGATGGAGCCACATTGACTTTGCTCAGAACTTCAATGTAAGCATGTCTTAAATTGTTGTGCACTTAGGAATGACTATCTTTTCCCCAAAGTGTGCTGTGCTTAAATGTGGTGAGAAGGATGGGCAAATATGACAGGCCCCTAATAACTCAGTTAAGAAGTAGGCCACAGTTCACAAACAAAGGGTGATCAAGCACCAAAGTCCCTGACCCTGGACGAGACACATACTCCTGTGCCAACACACCTCCCCCTTTACAGGTGATGACCAAATAAGGACAAAGCCTGAGACTTGTCCAGACTTGCCCAAGAATGGAAAAGTTATAACCCTGCTTGCCCTAACCCATTAGAAATGTACTAGTATGATTGCCACTTATGTAAGCCAGTAGAATGGTCACACTGCTTTCAAAATTCCTGTAGCTGTCTTAAAAGGGGCTTACACATTCTTCTCGAAGTCAATGCCATTTTGTACAGGAGGGTGCGACCCCCACATGCATGTGGAATAACAAAATCACACTTACTGATTGCACTGTGACTGGTACACTTATGGGGACTTCTTGCAGACCCCACTGATTACAGTAAAATTGAAGGAACCGGTTTCCCTTTTGGCAGCCATAATGGTCGAACATGTGCTTCTATGACCTTGACCTAGTCACTAAAGTCAGATGCCTGACTCGTGACAAGGAGCCAATCAGAGGTTAGCTGGTGGCGCTAGGCTTTACGACCCTGGGTGTGCTTTACGGACAAGCACACAGCAATGACGTAGAGAGCATAGCAACCACCCTGGGAGGGCTTATGGGCCATAACAACCAGTTGACCAATCAACACAGGGCAA